GGCTGCCCCCTCGCCCCCCCCCAGGAAGTCTCCTTTTTCTGCCCGTAGTCAGGGTGGGGACGGTGCTGACCGGAGCCCGGACTCAGGATGCCGGGCGGGAGGCCGCTCCGAGAACGCCCCAGGCTCCCTTTTGTGTCTTCTCGGGACCAGGGCCGGCCCCTGCAGTTCAGTGCTGCCTGGGGAGGGCCGAGGGACCGTCCAGGCCAGGGGCCTGCCAGGAGGGCTCCTACCCTACCCAGGAGTTTTTCTGCCCACCTTTCCAGGGCCCTATGTCGGGGAGAGAAGGAAAGAGTTAATTAGACCCTCAATGCACATGGCCCCTTTATTTACCAGGATAAAGGAGGGAGGCCATTCTCTGAGCCTGGGGTCAGTCCTGGACACCCTGAGGTGTCATTGAGGAAGGCACTGGAACCCCATAGGTTTGCTGAAGCCCCTGAAATGACAGTTAAAAAGAAACCTGAAGGTTTGAAGCTGCATGATCCCCTGTCCCTGCAAGAATCAGGGTGCTGTGTGTGTGTGTGTGTGTGTGTGTGTGTGTGAGGGGGCAAGGGGTGAGGGAAGACATCTGCCTCTTGTGTGAGCTTCGAAGTGCTCCCTCCCCAACCTACTGGTGGTCTGTGCTCTGGACTCTGAGTGCTGGGTGGGCTCCCCGGCGAGCAGGGCAGGCGCACAGCCCTTTGGCTTCCCACGGCCCTCCCTGCCCAGATGTGGCCCAGAGCCTGGGGGTCCTGCGAGGGGCAGTTGCCCCTGCTTCCTCGCCAGGTGGGGTTAACCCCTCCAGAGACACCCCTGCCTTCCTTGGCTCACAATGTTGGGTGGAGGGGGCGCCCTGAACCACTGCGAAGTTGGGTTTGCCCATATCCTCCTCCTGGTTCCCCTGCAGGAAAGCAGAGGACAACCCCCGGCCGGGGGGTACTTGAGGGGGTGGGTGGCAGGAGAGTTCCTTGCCTCCCTTCTCAAGGTTAGTGTGGCACAGTAAAGACGCCCCTGACCTCTGCTAGGCGTGCACCCCTGTAAAATGGGGTGATCAGAACGTCTTTCCTACCTCCTGGCTGGCAGTGGCTGAGGTGGCTGGCAAGGTGGCAGGAACCCCTTGAACAGGCAGGGCCTCTCTCTGATGGGTGGTCCAGGCCTAAGCTTCTCAAGCCCAACCGGAGACAGGAACATACGCCCTCCCGAGTGAGTTAGAATTCCCAGGCGTGGGGAGTGGCAGGAGTGGTCAGGTGCAGCCCGGCTTGCACACTGCACTCTTCTGCTGGAGGTGTGCAGTGGGTTCTGAGACCCTCTGGGGTCCCTGCAGGCCCAGCTGGGAGCAGCAGTCTCTGTAGCAGCGCTCCGGGCTTTTGCTCTGTGAGAGGAAGCGAACCAGCCTGGAGTTCGGGCTCTGTTGTCTTGTGCCCCTGAACGGCAGGTGCCTAGGTCCCAAGAGCCACCCTCCCCTGGACCCTCTTTATGTTTTTCGCAGTGAACATCGTTCTCACTGGCCGGCTCAGCAGCGCAGTTCCTGCTTTAGGTGAGTAAGACACTTCCCTTCCTCTTCCCTTCTTCCCTGCCTTCCGGTTTAGTAACCTCTGAGGACAGGCCTTCAAGGTCCGGGTTCTACCTCTGAGGTCAGTCCTAGTGTATCTTTTCTGCATCCCAAAGAGGCTGTTTGACTTTAGGCAAGCTTAAACTTCCCTGCATGTCAGTTTCCACGTCTATAAAATGGGTGCAATAATAAGACTTACTTCAAAGCCTGTTATTAGGGTTGAATGAGCGAATGAGGCGAGGTACTCAGCATGGTATTGACACATGGTGGCTTAATACCACTAGCAAACTGCCTGGTATAGTTGGCAGATTGTACCTCCTGTAGGCTGTGGGGTTCCCCAAGGGCCACGAGCTGCCCGAGATGCTGCCTGTTTTTGAATTATACCTGGGATTTAATTTATAAAGGCATGACTGAGTGATGACACGGAGAGGTCAATGCCGTTGACAGAAGTTGTTACGTATGCGTCTTGAGAGAAAGGGATACTGGCCACACCACGCAGGGCCACAGGTTCGATCAGGTTCGATGCAGGGGCGGCCAAGGCCAGAGCATCCCTTGGAGTTTCTGTGGGAACGTCAAGGCAGGGCAAGGCAAACCGTTTAGAATTGGCTAGGATGGTCTAAGGCAGGGGAAATATTGGCTTGCTGTGTGAATCAGGTAAGACGGTGGGTGGGGGCTCAGCCTTGGAGCAGCCGGCCTAGGAAAAGGCAGGCTCCAGACAAACTGGCATGCAGGAGAGAGGTGAACTCGCTGACCGGTAGTTTGGCCCTGCAATGAATGGATGCCAAATAGACATATAATATCCGAGAAAACACAGTTGGAGCTCTGCCCCTGCCTTTGCCTGTCAGACCGGTCTGTCCATCCACTGGCCATCTTTGTGCTTGTGCCTTGTGCCTAGTGCAGCAAAGACTGTCAGGAGTGGGAAGGGAGGCTGAGCCCATGAGGGCATTTGCTCTTTGCTGAGGGGGTTGCCAGGGTTTGGCAAATGGGTAAGTCTAGACTCTCATGGCCCTTGGTGCCACCAGGAGACATCTCAGAAGGGCCTTGGGAAGCTGGGAGAATGTGCGGTCCCCAATCTGGGTGCCTGCTGATTTGTTTGCTGTCTGCTGTGCTGCATGGAGGGGCAGGAGATAGGGGACTTCTAGTTCTGCCCAGGGCTCAACTTTAGCAGAAACTCACTGAGGTTGGTTCAAAGAGAGGTGTCTCTGCTGGCCAAGGTCACTGGGATGGGAGGCCCAGAGTCCACAGAGCACTCTCATGGGCCCGCCTCTCAGACCCGGCCTGTCAGTCTCCTCCCAATTCTCCTTGCACACTAGCTCCGGCTCCCTGCAGCCGGCCTCCTCTGCTGACTCTGCTGGCCTAGGGCCCTGCCTTGCTCAGCACGGAGTCAGCCCCAGCCCTGCCTGGCGTCCTGGCCCCCTCACCATTTCCAGGAGAAGACTGACTGGCTGTGAGGGAGCGGGACGGCGTGCAGGTCTTACAGATGCGAGCCCCAGGCCAGCCCTGCTGCTGGTGTGGTGGGTTGACATGTCTGCCACATGCCTGTGCCCCAGTGTAGATGCTACAGGCATGAGGTTCACCCACAGAGCCAGGGAGGGAAAGACAGCCACCGAGCGCCACACATTTTGTTCTTAGCTATCAAGACCTCAGTCCCAGGAGGTCCACATTGTCCAGCTCCAGGGGCCTCTGTCCACATCACGGTGCCTGTGTTCAGTGTCCCCGTGTCTTGAGCTGCAAACAGTCTGTGTGGTCACAGGTGGTGGCCTGGGTCCTACCTCTTCTGGAGTCCAGCCCTGACCTCTCTAGCATTGCTCAGAGACAGCTTAGAAGCTGAGGCCCCCTCCCCCTCTGACCCAGGGCTCCATGATTGCATTTTCAGGATTTTCCCTGTGACTCCTACTGTGAGGATCCTGGATCAGGACTGTCCCCTGGCCCCTTCCCAGTCTTCACTGGGCTCCTGAGGGCCTGGCTGGGCTGTCCTGGGGATCTCAGCCCCGGGACTAATGCCTCCTGCACCTTGGACTCTGGGCTCCGCCATGTGGCCACTATGACCTGGGGTGGCTTGGGTAGGTCTTCAGGCTATTCTGCACTCACCTGGCAGCTTCTCTGAGCTTCTGGGGTAGGGGTCCCAGCTTCCTGTGGTCTGGTGACAGCAGGCAGGTTGTCTGGGGTATTGGTGGCCTTTAGAGACCGGGTCTGCAGTTGTGCTTCCTCAGGCTCAGGCCCTCTCAAGAGTATGTGATGAAGGAAAGGCGCTCACTGCTCTAAAAAATGCCCCGTCATCCCTTGCCCACTTGAGCAGGCCACTTTGCCACGAAGGCCAAGGGAATTTTCTGCCCGAGTGAACACAGGTCCCCTCCAGCTAAAGCTCTGCTAGTTCTGTCTGAGTGCCTCCTAAGCACCCCCCAAATCCTCTATTCTGCTCCAGTATCTCCCCAAACACACAGTCCTCCCAGCTCCCCATACTGCTGGCCCATCATCCCATACCCTGTCATAACCCTCAACTCCCACGGGGTGCAGCCTCCCACTCACCCCATCCCATGAATGTCTGCCTGCTACTTTCTCCAGATTTCCCAACCACCCTCAGAGAAGTGCACCCACTGACCACATTTTACTGATGGACAAGCAGAAGCCCCAAGATTGGGTTCCTAAGCCACTTTCTCCTGCCTGTGCCTGGATCCTGTGTTGGGTGGGCTTCCTGCTACCACAGAGAGGGCTGGGGCTGGTTGTCTGAGCTGGTGGTACCCTCCAAGCCCATCGCCAAGAGGTGTCCAGTCAAGAGGCCCTGACCAGAGCTCCCAGCTTCCTGCACTGACCCCGGCTTCCCTCCTGCTCCACATTCACTCTGTGTGGCTGGACTGACACAACTGTGTTCTCTGTGGCCTGCTTTGGAGAAGAGCAAACAGTAACTGAATGACATTGCTGCCCTGGATGTGAGAATTTCTGGGGCAGCTCTGGGGGCCCCTCAGGAGCGGGGCTGTTTGGGGGATGTGTTGTCGGAGGCTTTGTTGAGAGGCAGAGCTGGCCTGGCAGCTGTCCAGTCATCTGTTCCTGACGTGGCTGGTGGTCTGAGACAGGCCTCCTGACCCCTGCAAGAGAATACTTCTCCCTCCAGACATAAGTCCTGGAGGGAGAAGTATTCTGGCCAGAGGGACGGCATGCAGGCATGGCTTTCCCGCCGGTGTGGGTGAGAGACCTGGCCTCTGTGAGTGTTTGTCTCTGGGGAAGGCTTCCAGGCCATAGCAGGTATTGACTGGGCCCTGCTCTGCCCAGATCCTGTCCTGGGGCTGAGGACACGGTGGTTCCCAGCTTGCCCGACCTGGGCCCCCTGCCTCAGAGGCCAGTGCTTCAGAGACTCCGTGTGGGGGAAGATGCACTCTAGCAGCCTAGGCCTCCCCCTGCCTGTGACCCCCCCACCCAGCACCGCCCACAAAGCTGGTGGCCGCACCTGTCAGAGGGAAAGGCCAGGCCATTCTGTTTGCTTAGTCCTTCTTCTGCTGGCCTGTGACCAGCGTGCATCGCTCCCATTTTATGGGTGAGAAATCTGAAGTTCAGGAGGGTTAGCCTTCTAGGGTGAGTGCCAAGTGGAGAGTCTTGGCTAGCGTCTCTCTGACCTGGCACTGTCGAGGCTCTGAGGGCGAACTGAGCGAGGTCAGCCTTAGGGTCACGCGGTGGTGTTTCTCTTCTAGTCCTTTGAATTTCTTGTGAGCTGTGGAATGGGAGTTTTGACTCCCTGGTAGTCACAGTATTGGGTCACCGGACCTCCATGGTCATGGCAGGCCCCAGTGGAAGGGGTTTCATGCTTCCGAATGCTAAGCAGGTGCTTGGGCTGGCCAATTCTCGTTGATCCATATTTATTGAGCACCTACCGTGTGTCAGGCCCTGTGTGGGATCCTGGGGACACAGTGTTGAGCCAGAGCCAGCACAACTCAAAGGGAAATGGCTGCTATGGCAGGTGCTGTGGAGGAGAGAAGGGGGGGGACTGGAGCCCTAATGGAGGGTCCCCTGGGGAAGGGGCCACTGGGCTGAAGCCCATAGGAGTGGATGGGCTAATGGGTGGGGGGAGCATCCTGCCAGGGGCCACAGGACAAAGTTTCCCTCCCATGGGAGGTACTACAGGAGGTGTGAGTGGAAAGATGGGTTATGGGGGAGATGAGGCAGAAGAGGTGAGGGGCTGGTGCCACTGTGATGAATATTGTCCTTGTCCTATGAGCATGAGGACAACATTTTGTGCAGCTGTGTTGAGAGCCAGCAGAGACCCCTGCTTCCGGGGCGACAGTGGAAGGTGCCAGGCAGTGGGAGAGTGAGGAGGTGATGGCACTGGACTCAGGTCATCATTTGTCTTCCTGAGCCTCAGGTTTCCTGTCTGTATTAGGGCCCGCCTTTGCCACAGGCTTTTGGGAGGATTCAGTGAAGCAGTGGGGTGAAGGGTTGAAGGGGTAGTGAGGGGTGGGGGCAGCCAAGTGCAGGGGCCTTGCCTGGTCCTGGGAAGGCTGGGAAGTGGAGGGCATGTATAATGAAGAGGGTATAGTGAGCCTGTGGTCAGGAGAGCTGTGGGGGGAGGGGCATGGTGGCCCCTCACTCATGCTGGCAGGTGTGACCTCTGCACTGGTCCCTAGTACACCGCATGGTGACACTTCATAAATGCGTTGGCGCAGGCACGGCAGTACCAGAGGAACAGGGTGGACTCTGACTGCCACTTACTGGCTGTGTGGCCATGGGCTGGCCATTTATTCTCTCTGAGCCTCAGTTTCCTCATCTGGTTACGAGATCTACTTCCAGTGGCTTCCCACTTATGCTCAGGATAAAACCCAAATTCTGTGTAATCAGACCCAGCCTGTGTTTCCAGCCCCATCTGGACATTTGCCCCTCCCTTCAGGCCTGTTTTGTTATTTTCGTTCCACGCAGGGGATCTGCATAAAGTCAGTCTGATCCCCTCCGCCCCCCGCAGCCTGTGAGTTCCACAGAGCCTGTCTTATTCAGCATGCCTAGCACTGTGTTTGGCACATAGTAGGTGCTCACATCTGTGTTGGGTGAACAGAGCTTCTTTCCTCTCAGACTGAGGACTGTATTTGTCAAGTCCCAGGGAGGTCAGGCAGGTCTGGGGGTACAGAATTCTTAACTGAACTGAGGTGCCAAGGCCAAGAGGCTGCACCTCAGAGGTGCCAAGGGGAGTTGTTGGTGGGCACGCTTCCAGCCCTGCCAGGGAGGGGAGATAAGACCTAGGCTCTGTGCACAGATGGGGTTGGGACTACGGCTGCCCTTAGTCCATGTGGGTGCTCCTTGTCCCTCATATACACCACTTCCATGAAGTCTCAAGTAGTGGCCTTGCCCTTGGCTATGCCCACCCTTGGCTGGCCTTTATCACACCTTGGAAAGGCCTGTGCTCAAGCTAAGAGTCCCCACCTCCCCCCACTTCCTACCCAAAGGTGAGGCCAGCACTTCGCCTCCTCTCCTGACAGCTGCCTGCAGTGGGAAACTGGAGCAGCACACAGAACGGCGTGGCGTCATCTATAGCCCGGCCTGGCCCCTCAACTACCCGCCGGGCACCAACTGCAGCTGGTACATCCAGGGTGACCGTGGCGACATGATCACCATCAGGTATGGGAGTCCCCGGGGGGTGTCCACGGGAACCTATATAGGTCTGCAAGTGCTAAGCGTGTGTGTGTGTGACAGAAAGAAAGAGAGAAGGAGGAAGAGAGAGAGAGAGAGAATGCATGTGATGGTGCATGTGACTGAGTGCATATGTGGGCAGGCATGGAGTGCATGTGCGAGCATGTATGTGAGCATGTGTGAGTGTGCATGTATGAGCACATGTGTGAGCAGGTGTGGAGGGCACATGTGAGTGTATGTGTTTGAGCACGTGTGTGCTTGTGTATGTGTATGAGCTCATTCAGCAGGAATAAATGACGTGTGAGTGTCTAAGCACATGCATGTACATGAGCACATGTCTGAGCAAGTTAGGAGGACAAATGTGAGCAGGTGAGTGTGCAAGTGTACGTGTGAGAGTCAGGTGTGAACATGTGTGAGCTGTAAGCAAATGAGTGCTGTGAGCATGTGAGTGTGCCCAGCTCCCAGGTCTCTGTGGGCCTCTGTGGCTGGCTACATGGAGCTGGGCCTCGTCTTGCCCTGAGCCTCTCTCAGGGGCTGTGGGGGCTGTGAGTCACCTCAGGCCTGCCAGGAAGGGGAGCCCTGGGGCTGGTAGGCATGGTCTAGCTCTCTGAGGTGGCAGAGGTATCTTCTCTGTCCTGCAGGGGTGGCTAGCAGCTAGGCTGGCACGGATCCCAGAGCAGGGTTTCTCCAGGGTCCTCAGGGCAGTCTCAGCAGGAGCCCAGGTGCTCCAGCTGCAGGACATGCAGAGGGAAATGGGTTGAGGTGAACAGATGCTGGAACTCCTGGCCTGGGTGGCCACGGGGATATTTGGCTGGGGAGTCACTCTCCTAAATGCCAATGCTCAAAAGGCCCCCAGTTACTCCATAGCTCCAAAGCATGGGATGTGCTGGCACAATCAGGGTGTCCTAGTGTCTGTGCCTGCTTTCCCGTGGTCACAGGGCTGTGGCTCTCAGGCACATTCTCTTCAAAGACTTCACCCTCCTCCAAAGACTCCGGGCTCTATGATCTGCTCGTCCCACAGCCTGGGCCAGAGGTCCAGGGCTGATATATTTCTTCCCAGGTGACAAGCTGTCACCTAGCCCCAGCCTAGCCCCGCCCTGGGGGCATGCCCCCTCCCCCACAGTGCACAGGCCTGTGAGTTTGTGCAGGGTCTGTCCCAGCACACCCAGTGTGGGTGGGATCTGGGGCCTTGGGTCTCCCCACTTGGGAGGGTATCAGGGGAGGGAATTGCCCAAGATGGGGCTCCTGACTGGGCCTCCACTTTGGCTTTGGGGTGGGGATGCTATGTGTGTGCTGACAAGGCCTTCCCAGAGCTGCAGGGGTCTGATGTGAAGGATACTATTCAGAGTTTTTTATTATTTTTGGATCTGCCCTCAGATCCCTGGGTGTCTGGGAGTGGAGGGAGGAGGTGCGGGTGGGGTTGGCCATCCTTGTTCTAAGCTCAGGCCTGATTGTTCTCTGCTGGTCCTTGGCCACATGGGCCCTGCCTGCCTACCCACCCTTGCAGCTTCCGCAACTTTGACGTGGAGGAGTCCCACCAGTGCTCCCTGGACTGGCTCATGCTGGGCCCAGCGGCCCCACCCCGCCAGGAGGCCTTCCGGCTCTGTGGCTCTGCCATCCCGCCTGCCTTCATCTCCGCCCGGGACCATGTCTGGATCTTCTTCCACTCTGATGCCTCCAGCTCCGGCCAGGCCCAGGGCTTCCGTCTCTCATACATCCGAGGTGACACCAGCAATGGCATCGCAGGGCACCACAGAGCACTCAGTGCACCACGTGGGCGCCTGGGGCCAGAGCAGCACCCCCCATCTGCCTGCTCCCTGCTGGGTCTCCTCCAGGAACCCCATCAGGCTGAGCACAGTGGTGGGACGGGGACTAGTCATGTTGCTGCCTCAGGGTGCCTTGGAGTCCCTCAAGGTCACTGATCCCACTCCAGAATTGGTTACAGTGGGGGCTCCCCCCTTCACCCAGATCACCCTGCACCTCAGGTCAGGGACTTAGTTTACCTGACATTCGAGGGGTCTTTATGCCTCAGGTGGCCATGCGAGGCCAGGGGCTCTCCTCTATGTCTCCTGCCTCTTCCTTGGCCCTGCAGAGGCCCCGCTGGAATGGGGGAGCCACCCTGCCCGTCCCTGGCCCTCAGGCCCCAGGCTGGAGGAGGCCCTGCTCTCCCCTGACTATCTTCCCCTGCTCTCTTCATTCCACAGGGAAACTAGGCCAGGCATCCTGCCAGGCAGACGAGTTCCGCTGTGATAATGGCAAGTGCCTGCCGGGCCCGTGGCAGTGCAACACTGTGGATGAGTGTGGCGATGGCTCTGATGAGGGCAACTGCTCAGCACCTGCCTCCGAGCCACCCGGAAGCCTGTGCCCCGGGGGCACCTTCCCCTGCAGCGGGGCACGCTCCACGCGCTGCCTGCCTGCAG